AGATAGAGGGGAAGAATAGTAACATTTGAAAGTCTCATAGAGAAATCATTCCTCGGAGAACTAATTGCTACCGAATGCTATCCCCTGGCAAACTCCACAAATGATTGCTTAACTTTTTTTTCAGCATGATTCCTCATATCTGCGAGCGAAATGGTCCCAATTCGACTTTTTCATGCTTTTGATGCACGTTCTCTCCTGTGCCTTACATGCCTATGAACTCTTCACCATTCTCGTACCATCACTTGGACTAGTGGTTCGTTAACTTTATTCCACATTTTCAATCATTTCAATGGCTTGAATCCAAAAATGTTCAAATTCAGTATCGGCCATGGTTTGGTGTGATTCGTTCGCCTCGACCATTCATCATGTTGCGATTTATTCGGTCGTTAGTGAGATTCAAATTGCCGAAAAATCGAATCAAGCAAATCATCAAGTGAGTTGGGGCCCGAATTTTGAGGAACCAATTCCCTAGCAACAGTCATAGGAAATTTTTTTAGACGATCCTCTCAACAAATTCAAAACGTCACAATCTTCTTCATGTTTTTCATGGCACTCTACGCTATCATGGGAGTTCAGCTGTTTGGTGAGTCAGCTCGCAACCTCATTAGCGGCCCCCTCATCAATCAGTAATTCGTTGCAGGACGAATGGATTACCACTGTGTGCTTAGCGGAACGGATCCACGAAATGTCACCATTGCCGACTTGGCCATTCCGGACACCATGTGCTCGCAAAAAGGCGAAGGTGCATTAGCCTGTGTCATGAATAAAACGAAAGAAATGATTGATAGAGGACACGAGGAAGGACATTTGTCACTGCGGCCCATTTTGTACATTTTAGGAGGTTATGAATGCCCGGACAACATGGTGTGCATGAAATTGGATATGTCAGCGCATGTCGAGGGATTCTATGGAATGTTTAACGACTTCGGTAAGCGTTACTTGAGACTGACGGCTATGGAACCCTTCTGAAAAGAATCTCGAAGAATCTGATTTTTACCTCCCCAGATCAGTGGTGTACTCAGAATTACCGT